CAAGGTGTTGGAATAAGGAAAAGGGTTTGAATTGGCCTGGAAGGTTGAATTCAGTTTTCAAATTTCTTGGCTTTTTTTCAATATGGTAATGGTGTTTTTGCAGCAGCTTGCACGTCCACAACATTAGGGTTAGCTTTAGTATTTGTAGTATGATGGATTTAGGTTACAATCTTGTCCAAGAATCCATGGAATAATGTTTTGCATCTTTGATTTCCAATCAAATATTTTTGCATCTTTTTGATTAATAAAACTTGCCAATTTTGGATATTCTTGTCTCTTTGATTGGCAAACGAAATCTCGAGCATGTGTTGAGTTTATTTGCTCCACAAAAGATTTGAAAAACATATCTTGGCATTTTCCTATAATTAAATCAATTAAATGAATTAATAATCAATAAAAATTCAATTAATTAATTTAAAATAAGAAAATAAATCAATTTAAGTTTAATGGGTCGTGCATAGGCCTTGGACAAAGTTTCAAGAAAGAATTTGAGGCCCATTAGCAAAAATGAAGTGTTTTGGGCAAAGTTGACTTTTGCAAATTCCCAAAAATTTCCCAACTTCTCCAATGCATATATTGCTCAATTTTGATCCTATGAACATGTTCTTGGACATTTTGGAAAGGTCTTGAAGTCCTATAACCAATGCCTTTGGTCCCATGTCATTTTGATTCACCAATCTCAAGTTATGGTCATTGACTTAAAGTGCCTTTTTATTGACTTTTGAAATTGACCTATAATGTAGAAATTGATAACTTTTTGTGAGAGCATTTATTGGTCTTGGAATGTGAAGATGAGTTGTAGGAAATGTCATCCCCTTAAAAATGAGCATTGGATGGGATTTTTCTGATGAACCATGAAAAAGTTTTGCCTTGATCAAGTTACAGTTGACTTTTCAGCTGTCCAAAAATAGAAACTTTTGCATCTTTGATGATTTTTGAGCCATGCTTGTGGAATCATGATCAAGACTTGATCAAATGATGATTGTGGCTTCAAAATAAGATGTTGACCAAAAATTCTGACTTTTGACTGTAAAATGACCATTTTACCCCTACAATTGATTGTGGAGCAACTAGGGCTTTTGACTATGCAACTTGATGCTGTGAGACTTGCAACTTGGCATGTAGATGCTTGACAATGTATATAGGCCTATGGGACTTGATTGGACCACTGAAAACCTCAACTTCCTTGCAAGAACCAAAACCCTATTTTTTGACTAGCTTAGGAGATGATTGGACTGTGCAACCTTTGAGGAATCTTGAAGCATTTGAAGATTGATCCTTGTCAAACCTTGAAGAATATGGGAGGGAAAATTTTGGGGTACAACAAACCGCATTAACAGCTTGGCGGCATTCAGGTCTATTCTGGCTTTTCGAGCCGTAGACAGCACTGGACTCTTTCTTAAAGGGCTTCTTCTCGGTGCTTAATGCAACACCTTTTTGTATCTTACCGGCCTTAATACAAGCCTCAATCCTCTCACCGGTCATAATTAGCTCTGTAAACCCAGATGAAGAGCTTCCAATCAGGTGGTTGAAAAATGGACCAGACAAGGTCCCCAGAAACATATCCACAAGCTCCCGATCAGCCAAGGGTGGTTGTACTCTTCCGGCGAGGTCCCTCCACTTCTGAGCATAATCTTTGAATCCTTCACCCATTTCTATTGACATACACTACAAGAAAATTGGCAGATTGCGACAGGTATTTTTGTAGATTACGACGGTTAAAACCGTCGCAATTTGCTTTCCACGACGGTTGCTTTACCGTCGCAGAAGTGTGTGTCCCCAACCTATTTCGCGACGGTTACAAAAACTGTCGTTCAAGTTTACGACGGGTTGATACCGTCGTGACTATCTTTTGAGTTTCTTTTAATTATTGATGGCGACGGTTCGATACTGTCGTGAATATCTTTTGAAATTGATTAAATTGTTTATGGCGACGGTTCGATACCGTCATGACTTTTGTTGATTATTTTTAATTGTTGATTACGACGGTTCGCTACTGTCGCTATGACTTTTGTTTATGTCTTGATTTTTTTTAATTTTTCTATTATATATATTTTTTATTTAAATTATTATCTATGTAAAAAATTATAAATATAGTTTTTTTTTTGTTATTTTTTTCTTTAAATTATTTCTTCTTTAATATATTTATTTATAGTATTATTTTTTGTTTTATTTTCTATCACTTTGTAATATAGTAAAAATAATTTCAATAAAAAATATTTAACATCAAATAAGCATTATAATATCCAAAAAAATGTGTGTTCCATAATCATGTAAAATGCGAGTTCCATAATCATGTCAAGTAGTACAAAAAACCCAAAATATATCAATTCCTAATCTTATAATAATAAGTATCATTATGCCAAAAATACATGAGAAAGTTCACAATCTAATTATCTCGATCATAGCAAAGTCTAATTTGTCCCCCCTGAAGTTCCATTATCTCCAATACGGTAGCTAGACTCAGATGAACGTCTACCATCAGCGGGTGATTCCAATCCCTAAAAAAATGTATTAAAATAATAATCTTTAAAATAATACTCATAAAATTTAACTTTAAATGCGTCAAAATAATACAAGGATATCCCCATATAAATATAAATTAATTAAAGGGGCAAAATGCAGCTCACATTTACTCAAATGGCCAAAAACATTGTTTAAAATAAAGGCAGTAGTAAAAAGTAAAAACTGAAACAAAAGAAAGGAATGCATAATGAAGTGAAATGAAGATTAAAATGGATCCAGAAACACATCATGGATATAAATCTTTTGTGACCCAAAATACAGTAACCAGAACCAGAAGGACACCTGTCATCCTCTTCATCAAACTCGGCGTCAGAATCTGTTGATGTAATTGTCACATCAGGCTTAAGTTGTGCAGATTGAAGCAAGGGAGGCATGACAAATCCCATGTATGGGAGAAAATCCTGCCCAAGGCACTTGCAAAGTCGTGCCCATGCCTGAGAATATAAAATCCAAGTGAAAATCTGAGGTATAAATGTATTTAAACCATAACAAGAGAATATATAAATATATGATCCAAAGTTGATGTCAACAAATGGAAGGAAAAAAAAAGGATCATACTTGTAACATGTAACTTGCAGTTGGATCATCAGCATCCAGTTGAGATTGTTGCAGTGACATCAAGACATCCATGACCTAGTCAATGAAGAATGAAAACCATACATTAGCACACAAAAAGTGAATAACAATCAGATTGTATGAAATAAGATATAAAAACTATTTGGATAAAAAAATAAACAAAAAACATGCTAAAATAAATTTAAATCACCTGCTTGGCATCATCCCTGAACTTCTCCTTTCCAACAGCCATTCCTACCAAACTAATACACTCCATTGCTTTGGCACGAAGCATACAATTAGATTTATCATTTGCATTTAATAAAATAGCTTTTAGATATGGGGTTACAGCATCATAATACTTCTGAAATTTCTCCTGTTGACATGAGATTTAAATTTATTAAAAGACTTAAAAACAATGTGATTCCAATACAGAAGAATTGTTACATAAAGCACCTGTGAAGAATCAGCAACAGATGCTAATGCTGTCAAAGCACCTTCTTGAACCATCTGGTTTCCACCCTATAATTCATGCATGAAAAGAGATGAAATCATATAATTCCAAGTTTATCATCCCAAATCTATAAAATATAAAGCAGCATAACACCTTTGGGATGCAACAATTGATGAAACAAAGTAACATTATACAACAATACTCACAGTCATGAAAGAAAAACTAACAAATTAGGAATCTAAGGCTTCCAAGTATAAAAATTCAAAGATGAGTAAAAAATAGATAGAATTCAACATTAATCAGACTACCAACGACATTTTTATCTGAATAAAAATCGGTGAAAATCATCATCACAAACAACACAAACTTTTCTATCATTTTAACTTGATATTGTCTAATAATTAGACTACCTTTGAGAACAAAGTAACATATTCCCAAACTCATCTACAACACATATGTACATATCGCGTTGTAGCATAATTTAAAGATAAAAATGAACAGAATAAAAGGTAAATAAAAACCTTTGCTACTATGGTCAACCACAAGAGCTTTAACATTATGTAACCATTATATTATGCCCACTGCCTGACAGGATGGATTTAGGGTTCAATATGAATATCATCATTGCCTCAGAATCGACACAATTGACCATGCAAACCTACGTCTTTCCGAGCTTAATTTAACCTGACAAATACATCTGTGACGGAGTAAACAAAAAAAGGAAAGGGACTTATGTTAAAATTAAGCAAAAATAAAATTATCACTTAAAGAAAATTATGAAACAAGAAAATAATCACAAGGCATGCCCGGAAAGTCATAGAACAAAGCAGTCTTTAAATTGAAGGAATCTAGCTTAGTGGCTGATATTTCGTTCCAGACAATGCCATTGGTGTATGGATACAGATCACATTAATAGTATCATGGTTCAAATGAAGTTAGGGTTTTATTTGTGGCATTATTCTTACACTATTCCCTTTGCAAAGGAAAATGGTGATGTTATCAAAGAACAATAACAAGAACCCACCTCTCACATCAAAAGTCATGTTTCCATTCGTTTTGCTCTCGCCTACATTAAAACAACCTTTGTGAATAAACATCCCACATTCATTGCTCCAACATCAATCCGCTTCCATGCCCAACCAAACATCAATCCCTTAATCACCTCTACAACACCATCATCTTATAAAACATCTATGGTGAAAGCTTCAAAAAACTAGCAGCCAATATTAGACCTTTACAACAATGAATACCCATTACCATCAACACAATACCCATGAACTACTCAAACTCCAACCACTAGAGGCCTTTACAATGCACCAACCTTGTTACCATCAACATACCCCATGAACCACTCCATTTGAAACCAACAACACAATACTTCACTACTTTCTTTCTCATCAAGTCATTCCAAAATCGCCATCACCAAACTCATTGTCCTTTTACCTTCATCTACACACAGTTGCACTCAGGCTACAACCCATTGCACTATGTTCTTTACACCCCCTATACTGCAATACAAAACCATCACATCAGCATTTCTATACCCCAATTACTGCTACTATCAAGCTCTACAATCTATCGAGAACACAGCAACAATGAACTACCATAAATTCATTGCTATCATAGAACCACCAAAACATTTTCCCTCATCCCACTCCATAAATTTCATTGCTATCATAGAACCACCAAATCATGTTTCTTGTGTTCTTAATCCCACAATAGAGTCGACGGCTTTTGTTGTGCACAAATGTGAATAAATTTTTTAGAGAGCAGGGTCGAGGGTGTTGAAAGGTTTTGGTGTGGCTAAAATATATATAAGAATCAACCGTGTGCTTTCTTTTCCACCATGTCAGTAACAAGGGAACATTTGCCAGCCATGTCAAAAACTTGCATTGACTCTTAGGTGGAAAGTTAATGATGGAAAGCATTTGTTTAATCTAAAAACTCGAACTAAATTGACTGGCAAAAAAATGGGGGAGAAAATGGTAGACCTTGGATTTTTAAAGTACCAGTAGTTTTGAAATAAAAAGAATTTAAAACACCAATTCAAAAACCACAGAATTCTCAAATAGCCGACATATTGCAGTTAAAGGTTGCCATCAGAACAGATGATTAAGCCAATAACGATAACAGTCTCCCCAACTTCACATATAGAATTCAACATTAATCATAGGTAACTACATATCAACTTTTCACGAAACTTATAAACTAAACTCGTTACAATTTAAGGTGTACAGTATGTTGCTAATTTATGATAGATTTGCATAACAAACTAAACTCATTCCAATTCAAGGTCTATGTTGTGAATCTATGATAGCTTTGAGTAACATTGATTCCCTAAATTGGAGCATAGTTCAAATCTGCACTATAGACAACATAACTAAACACATCTCAATTTTGGAATGAAACCTATGGATTCGTTCAATTCAAGTTAGTTCAAATAGGAGCATAATTGGAATATGTAATACCTGTCACGGTCAGAGGGATTGGAGAGACACTGAACAAAATTGATGCTGGCAGCAAGAGCAGCGATGCGGACATCTGATGACGATGTAGCAGCGCTAAGGCTGCGGAGGAAAACAGAGTGAAGAGTAGACAATTGAGGAATTAGGGTTTCACCTATGTAATGATCCAATTGAGCAAACACAAGTAGCGAAATCTCCTGAAGCCTAGCGTCAGGTGAAGTAAACAACTGGAAGAGAAGCGGGAGTAGGTCAGGCCACGAAGCAAGGTCTTCGGAGAGAAGTGCAGAAGCAGGTTCAGAAACCGTGTCGCATAGCTTCTTAGCAATGGATTTGATAGGCTCTTGATGGAGAGAGGAGAGGAGGAGGGAACAGAGAGTGGATTGAGTGGAGGCGGTTAGGTGTGGGTAGATGAAGGAGTCGTCGTGGTGGCGCGTGAGGTGGCGGCGGAGGAGGATTATGGACATGGTGCGGGTTTCAGGGTTCGGGGAAGTGTGGAGAAGTTGGGTGAGTTTGAGGATTAGGGAATCGGGGTAGGTTTGTTTGCATAGGTTGAAGATATTTTCGGCTTGGGAGCGAAGGTCGTTGGAGGAGGACATGAGGTTTGTGATTAGGGATTCTAAGATATTTTATGAGTAAGTTTAACTTTAAAGGTTTTGGGTGCGACGGTTGTTTTACCGTCGTGAAATGAATTTTAGGACGGATAATTTTACCGTCGTGAAAGGTTTAAGGGTGCGACGGGTGCTTTACCGTCGTGATATGCCTTTTAGGACGGTTAATTTTACCGTCGTGACTAGTTGTTGGTGAAAAATCAATGTTAAAAGTGTTAAATGGGGGCTGACGGTTATTTTACCGTCGTAATAATAATATTATGATGGTTAAATATACCGTTGCAAAATAAATATTAGGGACGGTTGGTGTCAACTGTCGTAAACACTGTCTCTATATGTCAATTACGACAGTTATCACATAACTGTCGCAATTTTTGTGTCGTTAAACACTAATTTTCTTGTAGTGATACCCTGGAGTTGGGTACGCGTGGGAGCGAGGTCAGAGTTGTACTGGTACTGCCTGTAGAAAGCAGTAGCCAAATCTTCCCAACTGCGGATACTAGCTCCGTCCAACTGGTAAAACCATTCAAGCTGAGTCCCTGAGAGACTGTCTTGAAAGAAGTGGATCCATAAGTTCTTATCAACGGTGTGCGGCTGAATCTTCCTTACATATGACCGGAGATGCAGCTTCGGACAAGAAACTCCGTCATACTTAGCAAAGGCTGGTGCCTTGAACTTGTGGGGAATCACTACCCTAGATGATAGACCCAGATCACCAAAGTCCAGACCAGGCACTTTTTGTACTTCCATCGCACTCAATCGGTCTTCCAATTGCTTGTATCTATCCTCGGCCGGAGGATACTGGTCTTCATCGAAGTCTGTCTCGTTGTCGGAGACCACAGGGCTAGGAGCCCTCCTTTCCTCTTGACTATCTTTCCCTCCAGATGAGGTGGTCAAATCAACTTCATTTTGTAGCCTGTTTCCAAACCTGTGACCTGTGTTAAACAGGATTGTCCTCTTCTTCTTCTTCTTCTCTTTCAGAATCAGGGTCTTCAGATCTTGCTGACCTTTAGCTAGATTCATGAACAACTATTGGAATTGGGCATTCTGGGCCTGGAGGGCCTTGATGGCTTGCTCAGTTGAAGGTTCAGCAGATATGATAAGTGCTGAAATAAACAGCGAAGAAGATAAGAGACCTGTAATGGGTACCTGTTATGGAGTGCATGGGATGAAATGCGTATGACATGATTTCAAAGACAATCGGGAGATTCAAATTTGTAAATAAGAAATGAAACACACTTTATTAGATAAAATTTGAAATTCAAATTGTTCAACTGATGCCCTTAAGGCGTTACAAGAATGGAAATACTGAAAAGGAAATAAAAACTGGAAAGGAAATAATCAAAGGACAATCAGTTCTCCCATGGTCTCTTCTTGTTGGTGCGGACATAGTCATTGAAAATCCGCTCGTTCTCCAGCTGCCTAGTCAACCTCTGGATCTTCTGCTCTTGCTCGTTGAACTTTTCTCGGTAAGCATCTCGTTCTTCTCTCAGTTGCATCCAAGATCTCTTTAGTGCTCCAATGTCAGTGGGCATGTAAGGATGGAGGATGGTAGGAAGAACCCCCTCTTCATTAGCAACTTCAATAATGATAGGCAGGACAGCTTCATACGGCATACCCAACTTTTGGGCACGGATACGAACCCATCTAAGATATGGCTCCATCGAAAGTGAAGTCTTTGGACCCAGCTCATGTGGATCAGATCTGTGAACTCTATCCCAAGCCCTTATAAATTTGTGGCGTTGCTCGTCGCTGTCCCCTTAAAAATCAAATATGATACTAGGCATTAGCAGCTCATGAGGTCCTTCTCTTCTGGCTTGCCTAAACTAACGTAAGGCCAAGCACGGATTATAAGAAATTCCTCCATGGGTTCCTATCAGTGGAACATTGGGGTACTCCCCACAGCGATCAATGATAGCCACCTCATCCATACCCTTGAGAGTCCAGATAATGTCATTATGAGAAAGAGACATAACCCTATAGGCCCAGCCCATGCCTTCTTTGTTCTTTAGCGCTGATTTGGGGAGGTTACCACCTCGCCAATAGTGTAGCACATCACATCAAGGTTCCCCGCTTTCGGGCTGTACGAGCATAAAGCTGATGAAGAATGTCACCCAAGAGAGTGGGTACAGGGTTACGAGAGATGAAGATTTTCACCGCATTCACATCAACAAAGGAGTCAGAGTTCGGAAACAATACCAAGCCATATATTAGAAAAGCCAAAATATCTTTGAATGCCTTGAAGTATAGACTATCCCAGAAATAGTTAGCCTTACCAACCAAAAACTTAGTCAGAAAGCCCTTTTCTCCACTTCTAGTCTCCCAATTAGCCATTACCTCGTCCTTAGTCATATGAAGAGTTGCAGCAATCTCTTCGGGCCTAAGGATCTTCTCCCAACCAGTAAACGGGGTCTGCTCCAGAATGGGGATACCGAGCAGATCAGAGAACTCTTCTAAGGTGGGAACCAACTGGTAGTCTTGAAAAGTAAAGCAATGGTACAATGGATCATATAATTGGACCAAAATACTCATCATCTGCTCGTCCAATTTGAAGGTGACCAAACTGAGAAGATAACCATCTCTCATGAGGAAGGAAGTAGTATCAGGCATCTTTTCAACCAACTCTTTAAGCACAGTGGGAACCTGGACAAAGTTGATCCGGATGGTATTCCTACGCATGGGCATCATGATGACCTACAAAACAGAACAAAGATGAATCCCTCCTGTCTTTGAAATAGGTTAGTCCAATGCAAGATGTATGCAATGTTATGATGTCATGATGTCATGATAGTAAGCACATCACAAGTATCCACAAATAGCAAACATGGTAAAGGCACACAAGTCACACAGAGAGCCCTTAGATTTCAGGCTGGCAAGGAGCTTAGGTACTACCCTCTTTTAGTTCAGTTGGTTTAAACTTGTCCTAAAATAGTAACTGGGTTCTAGAGGATCTCAATATCACTGACAACCCTCAATCGGTCATAATTCCATTTTAGCAACCTTTTCTTGCGGCCGGAATCATCGCGAGAGTTTAGTCTCAATGAGTGTAGCATACTGCTACTGTTCTATGGCCAAGTTGGTCAATTTAAAGGTTCTAAGGTCAGTTGGTGCTTAATGACCCCTTAGATGACCCATATTGTCCTCGTTCCAACACAAGGGATATCAGTACAATCTAAAGTGCCACACCAATGTAGCTACTGCTTCAACCGTATCGGTCTACGCCGTACAGTTCCCTCACAGTTTATTGCTACTTACCTAAAGGGTATCCCTAGATCCGGGTTAGGATCTATAGTAACTCCGATACAAGCCCACAAATATAAATCATACAAAGCAAACAATTGAAAACACAATGATCTAATCCTAAGGTACACCCCACTTATAAGATATCCCCAGCAGAGTCGCCAGTTCTGTGATACGGTGGGAAAGAACTTACTGTTTTTGGAATGCTGGTTTGCGTTTTGCGTTTGTGTTTGCAAAATGTCGCGGTAAGCAAGAGTCGCCACCGTCTTTTATTTTATCCAACAAGGAAAGGAAAAAAAGCACAGAAAAATTCCTTTTTCGAGATGTTTCTCGGATCCGGGGGGTAGATTATAGAAAGGGAAGGTGTTAGCACCCTTTCTATCCGTGGTTATCCACGGGCTCTTAGGTACTTGCTCAAAGTGTTTTCAAAATTTGCTTTTCTTTATGTTTGTGGGTTTGAAAGAAGTTCTTTGTTTGAAAGGTGTAAGTGCGAAAAGTTTTGTTTTGTTTTGAAAGGAGCAAGTACTTAAGAACCATCTAGCTACTCGAAAAAGGAATCAATCTGTACTAATATCCTTTAGAAAATTCTAGCCCACTATTGATGAGTAGGTAGCACCGTCGTTGGAGTTTTAAGGGTCAATTCGATTAAGGGACGTGCGGTCACTAAAGTAATGTTAGGATGCCTTAGCGGTAACCCTAATGTCTTAGATCATTTTTTCGAGGCAACCGTTTCGAGGCAACTATGATCTTTGGACAAGAGGGCGACCTCTAAAACTACCTATACTCAATGACCATGTTCGAAGGCAACCAAGTGAGGTGTAGCCTAAGAGTGCGCATGTGCGAGTGTGTTATTTCGGTTAATTTTATCTTTGTACATGTCAATGGTTATCTATGTTGATTTTAGGTTTAAACATTTGATCTTGTCATGCATTCCCTATTATCAAACATCTAACAGTTTATAGGTTGCGGAAATTAAATTGCGGAAATTAAAACTAACTATTACAAGGCGTCGGGTATTTACATCGCCAAAAGCAACCCTTGAAATTAAAGTGCGAAAAATAAATAAAGCGATAAAAATAATTTTAAAATCCTATTAAACTATTACATTCCGGGAAGCAGATACAATATTGAATAAAAATGGATCGCGTGCGAGAAATTAAATCGGATGCGAGTTTTTAGGGTTTTGACCCTTTGTTATTTAAAGAAAAGATTTTTTTGGTTATTTTTTAATTAAGAAAGAAATTAATCTAGGTTAATTACTAAATTAATAAACTAATTAATTAATTAAAATATTTTTGGATTTTTTGATATTTAAAGAAAATAAAATAAATTAGATCAAAGTTAATGAAAACCTAATTTTCTACATTAATTTTAATTATTGCAAAAATATTAAAGTTATTTCCTAATTAAACTAAATTAATTGAATTAATATTTATTTACAAAAATAAAGTGCTGAGTTTAATTTTAATAAATAAAATATATTTTTTGGTTTTTGATTTTATTAAGAAAAAAAATTAATTGGTTAGTAATTAAATCATAAAAAAAATAATTAAAGAAAATAAAGAAATAAAATAGAAAAAATAGAGTGAGTTAGAGGTTGGGCCTGATTTTGGGAGGTTGAGATAGCAATTTTGATGGCCCAATACAAGCAGGCCTGGCTGACTTCTGGACTTCCATGTGCATTGGTTGACTAGGGCGCATGATGGACATTCATTCTTGACCACCAGATCTGGCCTGGGGCCATCTGG